TGAAAGTGTGAGTCATGTGTTGTGGGAGTGACCAGCATATAGTAGTCTTAGGAGCAATTTCTTAGTTGCCCTGCAGGAGAAGCCTGGGGATGATGGGTTTGAGCATTTCCAGTCACTTGATAGTTTCATATTGGGTAGTGAGCTGTGGGAGGATAAATTTGGTTCTTTGCTTCGCCTTGTTAAAGGTTTTATTTCGGATGTTTGGGAGCTAAGAAAGGTTAGGCTATATGGCGATAAGCCCAGCGTACAACAGACCCAGTCTCAGATTGCGTCTGGGGAGCTGCAGGGTGTCACTGGTGGAAGGATGTGAGTTGAGGTGTCTGGGAGGTGAGACAGACACCGCATGTTCATATGGTGTATGTTCGTTTGTTAACGGTTCCGCCCATTGCTCTGGGTGTGTGGTCTATGGCCCTAGTACTATGGCAGCCACCTGAGTATTATTATTAATTACTTTGATGTCTCTTACCATCCAGGCCAGTTTGCCCTGCTCTGTGTGACTATAGGCTGTAGCTAACCCACTGGTTTCCTTCTGTCTCCGCCACCTCTAAAACAGTGTCTTTATGATCTCAGCCGAGACAGAGGTCACTCTACTGCCTATTGTGTATATAGTCTACAACACATTAGGAACAACCTTAGTCGCTGTCTGTATAATACCTATGATACCAATACGAAGACACACATGCTGGAAGTCATTGACCGAGTCCGTAATTTTGGCTGGTGACCTTCACACTGCAGGAGACCACACCACATGCTCATAGATCATTCATGCAACAAAAAGAGACACTCCAGGCCAATGTTTAATCATACATTCTGGCTGCTTTAGATTATTCGAGTGCAGTTTCTCTTTTTAGTGGATCAGGTGTCACACCACAGCAGTCATGTGTTTTGAGGCAGCATCTGGTATTTAATCCCACCCTTTATTAACCCTCGGCGTGCATGCGCAGCTACGGTCCTTGGTCTGTAAGTTTGTCTGTCTGTCTGTCTGTTACCACATTTTGCGCAACGAGACAATGAAAGAGCGATACCAAAAGGTTCAACGCTATACCGGCTTGATTTTAAATTTGGCGATTTTCGTAAAAGCAATGCATTCGACAGTATTATGGCGTGAAAACCGAGTTAACAAGCCAATATGCTAATTATTATTCGCTTACCTCCACCGGATTTTGTTTTAGTTTATGTATCTACGGAAGCATGCCATAAACGGAAGACGACTGTCGAGTGCAGCGAAACTTAATAGTTAGTTTAGCTCAAATCTAAATGATCATGCAGTAGTGTAGCTGAGCGGGTATCCCGACTGCACCAACCGCAGTATATAGGAAACGAGAAAAATAAACGCATGCGTGTGTTACACTGGCGGGTTGTGATCACGTGTTTTTCACCATAAATAGCACTGTTGAGCGACCAGGGTTTCATTTTTGTATTCTGTTCTTGGAACAATGTGATGAAGTTCATTTCTTGTGCTCCTTGGAGCATCCACTGATAAGATTTGTAGTATACATAAGTGGACGCCAAAGGGCCACGGAATGACCATTACACTGGGGAGGAGTTTGCATGCATTTGTAGTTTGTCAGCAACAGGCCAACTGCATACACTTTGATGCAATGGAGGAGGTTATTCGAGTCTGTTTTCTCCAACAACTGTAGTAGTGTTGGTAGCTATTGTCTGAGATTGCATCCTCCATCCTGGTGGGTGCGTTTAGCGTCTGCAGTGGTACACATACCCCCTCCACTCAGGTATATAGATCCCACAGTGAAATTCAAGAACATTGGTGAACGTTTACGTGATAGCTAACTGGTGTATGTTTCTCAGTTGTATGTATAATTTGACCTGTGGACTGTAACAAATATCGTATTATGAAGTACAGGTAACACCTGAACCACAATAGATAATATAGGCATGCAATAGATATAGGCATAGATACCACATTTTTTTATGTGGAGGGAGGAGGATATAATTATATTCGTAGTTTGTGGGTAAGATTATTTCTATGTGCACATCTAGATATATGCACAATGATTGTGAGAAACGTGCAAGGAAAGAAGTATTCATTCTCCAGACTGTGAAGGGTATCGGCTTCAACAAGGGTGGCTGAGGCATGGCTCGCGTCAAGTCGGCGATCACTGCTGAGACAGTGATAGCTACATCTCTGTGGACTGGCCAATCCACTGATGAACCAAAGCTCAAAGTTCAAAAAGTTGCATGAGCTCCAGAGGAGATATAGACATACAGGGGAACATGACGAAAAAATATATATATAATTATACACACACGCATTTAGATGGGAGGTATGGATGAAGAGAGCAATTTTCTCCCAATACAAAATCATGGATGGGGAGGCAGATACAAGGGTATCAGTTATTTCTTCCACAGATCCCAACTGCAGTTCTTGGTGGGTCTGTATCAGATGTTCCAGGTAAGTTCGATCTTGTTCGATTGATAGATTATAGTGTGGACAGAGTCTGTCGCTGAATAATGGCCGAGAGAGAGCTTTGAAGCGGCCTTGTCCCTCTTGCCCCATGATCTAGAGCCATGTCCCATATCTTGAGCCATGACAGCTTGGGAACAGCGGCGATGTGCTTAAGGGACTGATGGGTGCAAAATTCCCTTAGTCGGAACTCGGTGAGGACTCTTTTCTGCAAATACCTTTGGGAGACTGTTGTGGTAAGAACTTCCCCTGTGAAGTTGGTGCAATACACCCCTTCCAGGTATCGACATTGCTCGACAATTGTCCGTTTTGAGACATCTCTCCCTGCGAAAAACTTGAATGTCAGTGAGTAGAGCTTATCTTCATCCGCTGTGACAACCCTCCTCAGATAGTTCAACTTTCTGATGAGCACTCTAGTTCTCATACTAGGCCCATCAAGTCCAATTAGTACACTTGTGTTTGAGTGAAACGGGACAGTCTAAGAATCCTTCTGCCAAGGGGACACTGAAAGTTCTCCAACTTTTCAAGGGAGTGTCAGTCAAATACCAGCTCTCTGAACCAAACAGTAGCACAGGCATCACACATGTGTCCACAACAGATCGAAACGAAAGAGGGTTCAGTTCACCTTGAAAAACTCATATGAGCAGGAAATTCTCTGCCAGAAAATCATTGATGATCGTTGCTTGGGTGTTGCTGGACTGATGGTCACATGTCAGACTTCGAATGTCATCGGCATGACCCAGGGAGCCCAAGAACACACCTTCCAGAGCTACTCCGGCGTTAGCTCCCTTCAGCTTTTGCAACAGACTGTCAATGAGCACTGAACAGGGTAGGAGAGAGAACTGAACCCTGCCTCACCCCACCCACGCTCAATTAGAAAACCTGGCGATAGGCAGCCGTTTACCTTCACGTGACCCTTCAGTCTATCATAAAAGCTCTGAATTATTCTCCAGCTCTTGCCGTGTATTCCGCTTGAGTAGAGGTGCTTCAATAGAATGCAGTACTCAACAGTGTCAAAAGCTTTCTCCAAATTGTAGAAAGTCTGGAAGACAGTGTTCCCTTTCCGTGCAAGATGGGTAAGGGTTTCATACACGGCAAAGGTAGCATCCTCACATGACACACCACACTGGTAAGCTGTTTGCTAGATTGAGGGGAAACCTTTGGTTTCAAGCTCAGGGAGCATTCGAGACAAGGCGAGAGATTCGAATAGTTCGCTGAGCACATTGGATACCCCCATCCCTCTATAGCTATTAGGGTCAAGAGGATTTTTTCCTTTCCCTTTGTATATAGGGGTAATATTAGCTTCCTTGAAAGATAATGGAAGAATAGCATCGTAAATCTGTGTAATCCAAGTTCTCAGAAGACTGCCACCAAACTTTAGGTGTTCGCTGGAGACTCCATCTGGTCCAGTAGCTTTACGGTTGGGTAGTTTTGAGATATATAGCCATTGAAACTTCTTCAACATCAAATTCTACATCAAACACATAATCCTCATGGGAATGAGAAGCAGTGGTTAGTGACATTATTTCCCTCTGCAAGGTGCCGGTGATTCTTGACTTACTGAGATATGAGAAGTGATTTTCCCACGCATGTACAAGCTCTTCTCTATCAGTGATTGTACGGTCATCGATCTGAAGTTTCATGCATAATTAAGAGGACTTGTGTTTTGAAAAACGCTTAGGATGACGGTTTTTGAACTGCATGTCTCATTGCTGAATTGTCTTTCTCTCTTTGATTGCCTCCAGGTGTTTATTTGTTAGCGGACTGCTCTCTTTCTTATTATAATAGGTCGCCAGTTGTGGGACGGCCCGCATCCACCCATTCTGACCACATCTGCTTACTATCTTCACACAACTTCTGCAGCTATGAATCACGAAATCGTTTCTTTGAGGTATTCTTCTTATGTAGAGGTAGCAGCTGTATGGCAAATTTACAAACGCCTGTCATCACAAGATTTACCTCCTGCTCTACCTGAGCAGTACTGTCATATGTTTTCCCAATCAGAGGTCTGATCATCCCATCAATTGCTCTCTGATATTCCCCCATCCCAGGCATCTGTAACAGCTTTTCCCCAATTCACTCTTGGAATTTCTGTTGTATCCAAACACCCTCCCCTCCACATTTAATAACATATCTGCCACCACCAACACCCTCCCCTCCACATTCAACCACAGATCTGCCCCCGCCACCAACACCCTCCCCTCCACATTTAACCCTGCAACAACCCACAACATTCCCTCCACGTATGGTCACAGGTGATAAACAGAATCAGCATACTTATATCTCTCTCCTAGCTTCAAATTGTAAACCGACTCCGCTTCCCGGCCCATAATAAAGTTCTTGGAACCACCTTATGGGTTACTAGGTCCAAAATGTCTTCCGCTAACTTCCATACAGCTGGTCTCGTAGCAGTTTTTACATTCCTCGAGGACGTCAAGTTGGTTGACAAAGTCATTTTGTCGAACAAGTCACATTTGACGTTATACCTGTGGATTTGCAAGAGTTTCAGTTAGCAGCCCCTCCCGTTATTTCGTGCGCACATGTCACGCCCCCTAAAACGTGGGGGCGCGGTCACTTGTGCGGCTTCCGGAAGTCGTTGCGCGCTGGGTCCGTTCTCTACACTTGATCCCAAGTCACTAAGGATACTCTTGAGGGTGTGTACATCCAGGCGTCTTAGTCGGGAGAGAAAGTCTGTCTTCGGTACATTCATAGAGGTGTCCAGACCAGCTAGACGGTCCATCCTCCCGCCTTCGTGACGCCTCGCTGGTGGTGGTGAGGAAGGAGCCGGCCGTGGAGCGAGTGTTGGACTTTGCTGCCAAGTTCGCGGCCTCCATGGCTCCTCTGGAAAGTACAGCTGCTAGTGGAGAGGAAGAAGAGGCTGCAGGTGAGCTTCCACGGTAACCGCAGCTCTCCCTGCAAATATCCTGTGGGCTGCAGGAGACGAGGAAGGTGAAGAGGGCAGAGATGAGCAAGCAACAGAGGACAGGGGAGACAGTGATGGAGGGAGTGAGGACAGATACACTGAAACAGAAGAGGAAGAAGAAGAGAAAGAAGAACTTGACGAAAACGTCTTCAATTTTCTGCTGGTAAAGATGCTCTCCTTCTACAGGGCCAACGGCAGAGCCTCCACCGTGCGGGACAGCAGGGGAGAGAAGAACGATGTAGATGTAGATACACACAAACATTGACGACCAAAAAAGAACTCTGGTATTAACAAGAGCCAGGAGAGCGTTTAGAACGCCATGAGAGAGAACGCAGAGCGGCTGTAGATCCGCTCGTCGAGTAGTGCGCGTGCGCACACGCGCAGCAGCAGCTAGCAATGAAAGTGCTGCGCGTGCGCATGAAGAACATACGCGCAGCAGCTATGAAAGTGCTGCGCGCTGCAGGTCGCCGCGAAAGATGACGAAGACTCAGTGCGCTGCGAAGGGTTTTGGCCCTGTTCTGGCAATGGAAGCACTATTCCTGCTGGCTCCTTCACTGGTGAACGGACTTCACTGCCCGTTACCCGTCTCCAATAGTAAGCACTAGCCAGCTAGCTACTTGTAACGTAGCCGGGGCTCTTGTTTGCTATAGCGGAGCGGAGCTGCAGCTAACCCATGATTACTCCTCATCATTTTCAACCATTCAGGTTCCTCAAGTGGTATCACTCAGTATGTTTCTCTGTGTGCCATGTGCTCCCACAACGAGGCTACAGTCAGATGGAACAGAACTGTGGGTGATCACCTGTCCTATAGAAACTTCTATATGAGATACGAATGCCTCGACAGCGAAGGAAACGTAGTGATAAGAGAAGATGTGAGTAAAGATGTTTGATGTGGGTGAGCCTTTTATTAACATCTCAATAGTAGCAGTCTAAAAATACTGTTGTGCTATTGACATTGATTCACTTTGCGGCATGGTTATAATTGACAAGCAATGAAGGAGGCACTCTCATAACTAATGGTTGCTCTGTATCTTTACTGAGTCCCCCTGCTGATATGGGGCATCACTAAACTACAAAATCGAGCATCTTAGCAGCCCCTATCATTTTGTAGAGTAATAACTCGTCTAGATCTGTAATTAGCTCGTTATATACAACAGAGAAGTGCAGATGATGAAGAGGACTGCCCGTGGACTGGTACTATATACCCAGCTATGAGTGAGACTCTTGTGGACAATAATCGCCCCTTTGGAATTGCTTCAGTTGGTCGAGAATTGAGCAAAGGCACGACGTGCAATTTTATACTGACATATCGTATGTCAGTTGGTAATGGAAATGTTCAATATGCTGATAAACTGTCTTCCTGCACAGGCAAGTGCATATTATAGTTATGATTGTTGCTGTATTTCGTGATGCTAAGAAAGATCTGTGTTTCAGTTGGAGGAGGGAGTGAGGGAGACGAGTGCAGTATAGACAGAGTGTGTACATTCAGTAATGGAACACAAGGAGTAGAGGAGGGTCTGTGTACTGAGTGCTCTTGTTCAGAGGGATACAGTGGAACTGCTTGTGAAAGTAAGAGGGTGTGCTTGGCAAGGCACTAATTCCCCAAGTAATGGCTTGTTGCGATAATGTAGAAGCCACACAGGTTGCTTTAATAATTATGCGCTCTTCATTCATGCCAAATTCACCATCTCAGTTACAAACATTTTGTAATGGGACATAATACGTTAAGCAGTTGTTACAAGTTGTAAGTTGGTATAATTTATACTCGTTCCATAGTAGAGCGAGTATACCTATCTATGATTATTGAGCATGTCCAATAGCTAACAGTAAACAACAAGGCATTTTCATAGGTACTCGTACCATAGTATGAGCGAGCATTACCTATGTGATTATTGAGTGTGTCCAATAGATGCCTACAATGCTATGTCAAAGTTACTTAATTAATACACAGATATCAACGAGTGTGCTGAGAGAAAAGCTTGTGATGATAATGCAGACTGTGTTGATACTGATGGTAGTTACTGGTGTCAGTGTCTGCCAGGATTCCAGGGAGATGGATACAACTGTACAGGTTAGTCTCTTGCAAATGGTACTTGGGTTTAACTGGTCATTAACCCTCGGCGCGCATATGCAGCGAGGGTTACTGTAGTTGTGTTGTCGTATGTGTCTGTCTGTTACCCACACCTCACTTCACGAGCCATCAATCGCTCCACAAACGAGACCACGTATTCAGCGTTGGGTAGAGGTCGAAAAACAATGGTTTTCTCTGAAACTACTGCGTTCGAGAGTAGCGTCGTGAAACACGAGCGAAAAAGCTAATATGCTAATTAGAACAGGCGGGTTCGCTCTCATGTGTATCTTGAAGGCACAAGAAGTCACAATGAAGTTGGTGTACTGACTCCCGCATGGTATCTACTGCTGTAGCTAGCCCATGTCAGACTCTCCGCGAGCTACCGACGGGAGACCACGAGTAAACGCGCCCAGCCATCAATATTAGCAGTATCGCGCATGCGCAGTTCACCGAGGGTTTGCACTTTAGTGCCTTTTCCTGTATTTGTATGCAAAGATATCCCACACTGTGTGTTTGTGTTACTGCACCCATGTATGTGAAAAGGGCAGTCACAACATGGAGCATACATTGCCAAAAAGACAGCGTTGTTGTGTCCAAAGAATGAAGCGCATGTGTTATATCTAAAGTTAGCTCCAACAGAATAATACTAGTGTGAGCGACAAGGGTGGTGTATTATTGAACATGTTTTAGGTGTAGGCACTCCCCCTAATGAACTCTGATTAACCATGTCTTTGTCGTCAATGGGTGAACTATTTCATCACTTCATGGTATCTGTTCATAGCTATTTCAGCCATGACCATGTGACCGTCATTGGCCATTTTAGCCACATACATTGGTTCAAACCCAGCAAACTAATGCAGACTGCTGGCTTGCTGGTACAATAGCAGGGCAAAAAAGGAATTGGATAGAGATGGTGAGCATGTGTTAAACGTTTCACACCTTCCTACCATATTTCACTGATCCAGTGCCACACTTAGCTACATGTTGGGCCTTGGCAGAGAAAGGGGAGATAGCTATTCTGGCATCCAATGAGGGCAGCCATCCAATGGTGTGGCTATCCCATTACCTACCAGTCACCTCATATACACATGTTTGTGCATGTGTCGAGTCTCACCATGGAGAAAGGCAGTTGCAATTTGTCGGCAAAAGGTTTACATTCCAACTGATGTGAGCGGTTCTCGTTGAAGGCAATGTTTCATTTAAGTATATGTGGTACGACAATGCAGTACTGACCAGGTCTGTTTCATGCTTACTTGTTTAGCTATGTGGCTGCATGCAGAGTAGCCTCTTTTGCCTAGGAAGTAGGAATGCTGCACTAGGAGAAGTACTATGCTAAGACAGAATTGTGCATTTGGTGGACAACTAGGGACTCTTTAGATTTGTGCATGTATGTGCTAGAGGCTAAGCCCAATTCCCATGTGTTCCTAACTACATTATGTAGGGACTCATAGCAGAGATGGCCCTGGCCAGGTATGATGCTACTTTTTTTTTAATGTTCATCCGTCCAAGTATGCAGAGTGTTTCGAGGGAGACAACTGAGCTTGGCAATGCATGAACGAGAGAACTTTGTACTGCATACACAGTGCAGTTGCTCTGTTTTCAGAGTGACTCCAAGAGAATGGCATGCCTGTTGAATCACTATTGGATCCGGTTTGGCTCATTACAGCATTCCTGTGGCTCCCCCACTATCTTTCAGCCTGAGTCAGAGATTAGGAATGGCAGCCAGTGTCATGCCTGTGGAGACCCAGTGTGTGGGGAGTCATAGTCTGGTATGTATGTTGCTACACTCCCCAAGTGATTCTGAAGCAGGTGGCTGTAATACCTGGAGCCTGTTGCCAAGGTGTGTCTCCCTAGACAAGTAGTGGTGGGGGAGAAAAATGTCTTGAGTAATGGTATGTTGTAAATTAGGATATAAAATCTGTCTGCTTGGGCATCACCATTTGAAATCCTACAAATTTTTTTAAAACTGTTCTCAGCTGCAATAATGTGGTCAGAGTTGGAATAGCACTTTTGTTGCTTAGTATTTTAGCAAAAGTTATTCACCATGTTAATGTTATAGGTAGTATTGCCAGGTCATGCTCTATTAGCTATATACCATGAATTTTGCTCACAATTGTATTACACATTCGATTATACTCAAAGAGGTAATGAAAAATAGTTTCATGAGGGGACGACAACATTTTGTGTATTGATGATACTGTCTTACAGTGCCATTGATTGAGTTGACAGAATGCACCAATGTAAACAGACATGCAGTAACAAAACCTAAGTAGAACTTATGGCACATCTAGCATCAAAGCCATTCTCAGACATGAAGTAACAGAGAGACCAAAACAGGTCTGGCTGAAACACGATGCTGTTGTGACTAAAGTTGTATGACTCACAGCTGCTCCTCGAGACACCGTACACCACTGGCATCTTACTACGCTTGAAATTGAACCCCCGCAGTAGAGGACCACCTTCGAAACACTCGTCGCTACCACACTGTATGTTGAGGATATTCTCGCTCTCTGGTTCCTCTGTTCGGCTGCGACATACAGTGGAATACATGGTTCCGTAGGGTTTACTGCCGAGATAGCCGTAGATGGTGTAGGGGATGTTGTAGATGTTCTCTGAGAAGCCCATTTTGAGCCAGACGGTGGAGATAGAGTGGCGGTTGAAGATGATGAGGGCCCAGTCGCTCTCATTCGAGGGAGAGAGACTGTAGCTCCGCGGGATAATGACGCTGGTCCAAACCATGTGGTCCAGGTACACATCTGCCTTCCTCCCTCGCCACATATCCAAGTCGTCTACGAATTCTCCAGCGGTGGAGTTGTAGACGCAGTTAGCGGTCGTTAGAGCGTGACAGGGCCCGATTAGGAACGCAGTGCAGCCGTTCTCCAGAATACCGACTGCGTACTCGGGATAAAAGTTCGTACTCTCGACCTCGCCCAAGACGGTGCCTGCCATCGGGAGGGACGCTTCTTGTCTTATTGCAGTTGGCCTCCGGTTGACCCTCGTTTCCGCGTCGATCTTGTTCGGGCCGTCCTCCATCTGCTCGCCGACGTACGATTCGAGTCGGGAGTTGGGTCCGGCTGTGAAGATGTCTGGGCGAGTGTGCAGGTACTGCTCCAGGCCATCCACATCCTCGACCGTGGCTGGTTGGACGACACTACCGTCTCGCGTATATTGGAGCCATGAGTGCGCGCTATCGCTAGCGTCTCCTGAAGAGTACTCTTGCTCGTCCTCGGTGTCGCGCAGAGTCCATTTGTGAATCTCGTCCGTCACCGCCGCTTGCAGCAGGTGCCACTGCTGGCATGCGATGAGCAACGATAGGTAGATGAATAGACGCATCTTCAGTATTCGTTTAGGGAGTCTGAGCTTCGGCGTTTGCGCGCGTCTTTATTGACATCCGCCCACGCTTTCCCCCCGCTCGGAAGCATGCGCAGTAAGTGTATTAATCTGAGCATGCGCAAAACCTTTTCTAAAGGTAACCTCTTACTGTCTCTGCATGAATACGTTATGTTTGCTCCTTGTGTTCCAACAACCACATCTTACATGAAAGACTTGTTGCATTGACAGCAAGAGTGCGAAATAGCAAACACAGAAAGGTTCACATGGGGAATAACATACTTTTTAGCTCCTTGCTGTTGTCATTGGCCTTTATATAGAAGAGTAGTAAAGCAGCTCTCATGGTATACTATATATCTCTGAGGAAATGTCAAGACCCAGCTCCCTCCACACTGGTTCAGGAGATCTCTCTCTTTCTTTATCAGCACTACCTTATGCCGTAAAAGACACCGCCATCAGGGTTTATTGAACAGGGCTTATGATAGATTTGCATGGCATTGTAAAATAGTCCCATCGAGAGTTGAGAGTGTATTCCTGATGCAGATGTATGACTGGACTATGATGTTTTCCACTGAAAATGGTCTTATTCTAACCAACATTCCTATTATTGATTAAGAAGAGTGCACAGGAGAGAGCAGAGTCCTGAAAACGTGGGAACAGTTCATCGTAATTTTACTGTATGTTCTTCGCACACGTACAGAACATTCATGCGTTAGTATCCGGGTTATGTACTATTACTTCATAAGTGTGAAGTGTATTCAACGTCAATTTACTCTCTGTAGCTATCCCATGACACGTACGTAACAGGAAATGGTGCTGTGGGAGTGTAATTTCATCATCCGTAGTGTGTAAGGTTTGCCACTGAGACAACTTCCAGTCACAAACCACAAGCAGCTAGGTATAATATAGCCATTACGACTCTTAGTAATTCTTAGAGCTAGTCTCAACTTCGCTGCCATGTCTGCCGGTCGTATCCTGCTTGGCTTCTCGCAAGTTTCCCGCCCGGCAGGTCGTCGCCTTGCTTCCACTGAAGTTGTCGCCCCTCAGCTCGGTGGCCGCAACGCCACAAAATTGACGGTAAGTCAACGTGTGACTAACATCGCGAGGATGCAATAGCTACCTACAGAATTTCGAGCCCGGTAGGTAATTTAGCTATGCTATTCTGTTCTTTTCTCTGTAGGTGTCTAGCTGGGGAGGAATGTTGATGGCAGCTGTCGTGCTGTACACACCGAGTGTGATTCTCATGGGCACAAAACCGAGTTCCAGCAGCAGTCACTAGGGTTCTTTCACACCGACCTACGTATTTAGCTAGTGTCATTTATCATTATTTATTTATTTATGAGTCAGAAGGAAATATAATTATTTGCCTCACGTCAAAAGGATAAGGAACGAGGAATCCACGTGCGCTATAGCTATAGCAAAGGTGAAAAGCTTAAAGAGCGACACTGTGCACGTCAGATGTGAGTTGTCATGGAGTCACGGCGTGTGCAGGGAAGTGACGCATGCGTATTACAATCGTATGTCAGAATGGTGGAACCGGATCTACTGCGTATGCACATTGTTCTATACTCTTCCTGAACTGTCCTATTAAAAGCACATGATCATCACTATCCAAATCAGACCAGTGACTACACAATAATGACTAAGTCTATTTGTTCATGGTTTGCACCAGCTTGCATAGTCTTTCAGCTTGTTAACCTTGCAGGTGAGCTATTCTAGGAAAATTGTAGTATTGAATTTGAACACTCTTACACAGATGGACAGCCACAGATTGAAGTGGTAGTACCTGAAGGGATAGAAGTAGTCAATGGGTCTAGCACTAACATGGGCTGCAGCAGTCCATTCACCGAGACAGGTGGCAGGCTGATTTGTGGATCAGAGAACTTCCTGGTGGACGGCTGTTCTCCTGAAATTGACACTAGTAGTTCTGACTGGGCATCTCAGCTGGTAACAGTGAGAAGAAATGAGGGTAGTCCACATCTTCCCTTCCCCCATGTCTTGCTCACTTTCACCTTTGATGAAGCAATTACATCACTGACTGGAATCGAGGTGGACATGTTCCAATGTCCTGACTGGGGAATTGGTGCTCCGTCTGTTGTCGCGTATTTCAGTCCAGACACTCAATTGTCTCCAGACATTATTTTTAGTCTACCCTTTGCATTTTTTAATGCATCAACACTGTCATGTGACTCACTGTCAACTTTGACTGTAGCTAGAACAATAGTGAATTCTTTCCAGACAGTTTACATTTTGATGGACCTTTCAATTAGTCCGCCTATTGATTGGGTTCATGTTGGAGAGGTTCGATTTCTTGGAGTTAGCTCAACACCTCATCCTGGCTGCGTTTCACCAACTACAGGTATAGCTACTCAATTCAATTTTGTTTTGTGAACATGTCCTGGTTCTAAGATGCTTGCATACTGATAACACAACAGTAACAGAGCTGAAATAATAGACTTATGGAGGCTCTGGTACATTTGTGTCCGTGGCTGGTTAAGTGATGATTCTATCATCCAAATGAGGTATAATAATATTATGTCAACTCTCGATAAGGAAGCTGAGGTAGCTATCTATAGTGACAGGTATGGAAAGGTTACTACAGGTATAATTATTATGACAACATGATTGTGAACTCAACAATATAAGATGCTGACTATAATATAGAGGAGACGGTCTATAGTGCTAACTGCAGGGTTGCAAATCCAGCATTGTACTCTGAACGTGCAAGGTAGCTAACTACACCTTCTGTAGCTCTTACAGGGATAGTGGTAGGTTGAATAGGTGCTGACTATTGCTAGGTGCTGACTATAGCAACCATTTGTAGCAACTGTGGGTTGTAATTCCTGGAATACACTTTCTGAGTACAAGAAAATAGCATTTCTAGGCAGCAGTTCCGGGCATGAGGTACAAAATACCGAAGTTACTTCAACTTAACCCACTCGATTGGTATTATTCAGTCCCTATACCAATGCTCTTACTCCAGATCCTTGTGAAGACGGACAGCTACGACTTGTCAATGGAACTACTACCACAGAGGGACGAGTTGAAATCTGTTTCAACAACACATGGGGGACTGTGTGCGACGACTTTTGGGACAATAGGGCCGCCAGTGTGGTCTGCAATCAACTTGGCATATCACCGTCATGTGAGCAAGTCTATAATTATAATGTAATCCCAAACAACCAAAGTCTATGTATTGCCACTGTAGTTTCATAAGAGCCAACATTGTTGTCTACAACTTGGCATACGAAGTAAGCAAGAACAAAAAACTGGTTATCACAATAGCCTTAGAAGTACCATAATTGCCACTATAATGAAAAGCACTGAAGTGCAAACCCTCGGCGAACTGCGCATGAGCGGTATCGTTAATGGCTGGGCTGGGCTATTGGCGTTTACCCGCGCTCTCCCGCTAGTAGCTCGCGGAGAATCTGACACGGGCTAGCTACGGTAGTAGATAGCATGCGGAAGTCGATACACGCCCTTCGCTGTGGCTTCTTGTGCCTCCAAGGTATATACACAGAGCAAGCGGATCAGGAGCCAGCATACGTATATACCGCGTTGATCGTGTCTATACGCATGCGCACGGAACTCGGTCCGCGACCGTGCCAGTTTGTCGCTCTCGAATGCAGTCGTTTCAGGAAAATCGGCTAAAATTTTCAGGTTCGCGTAGTTCTGAAGCCGTTGGTATCGCTCATTAGCCACCTCGTGGCCTGTAGTGCCAGAATATGCGTCGACACACACACACACACACACACAGACAACTACCGTAACCCTCGCTGCGCATGCGCGCCGAGGGTTAATAATTATTGTCACTTACATTATAGTTGGAGAGGCCTATTCGGGGGCTAGATATGGACAGGGACAGGGACCTATTTATCTGGACGACGTTGAGTGCTTTGGAGATGAGGAGTCGTTGCTGAATTGTTCTCACAGAGGAATCGGAGTTCACAACTGTTATCACGGAGAGGATGCTGGTGTACTCTGCATAGTTGGTGGTAAATACAAACTGCTGATTACACATTTATTGCAAAAAGTTGCCTTGATATTATTTGCAGGGGCACCTAAATGTATATTGGGAGATTTAAAATTGTGAATTATGTTGCAATAGTAGCGTAGCATAATAATTGTGTATATATACCTATATAGTGGAAGCATACGTTGCTGCAGACTCATACTGATACGGAGTGCAAAACCTGTCTCCAAAGCACTGTTTTGCATTACAACGTGGAAAATACTTCACAAAATTACATCATAGTTTTGTCCGCAAATGGCTGATTATGTGACTGACTATTATATGTACATCATACACTTAGGTTTCACATCAAAGAACTTACTGTAGATAAAAATTGACATTTGTGTGATAGCACATTAAACCTTGTTTGAACTGATCCAGTTCCAATATCTCCTGGAGGCGAATGTGATGGAGACGTTGTTTTCAACTGTGGAGACGGTTCTTGTTACCCTATATCCTTCGTATGTGATGGATATCCCGACTGTAGAGATGGATCAGATGAGGACAACTGTGACATATGTGAGATCATGGAAAGTCACTGTAAATTTCGTCAAATGATTTTGGTTTTTGTCTTCAGTTAAGCTCACCACTCCCTGTGAGCTGTCTCTGTATGAGGGAGGAAAAGAAAATTTCACATTCTGCTTGACAGTCACTGAGGACGTGGAAAATTTTACATTATTCAGGCAGTTTAGCATCGAGAGCTTTACGGTTTCTGGTGATTCAGCTAAAGGTACAAGACTAATGTTTATGACAGGCCCTTTATAGGTGACCTACCATATCCCCATTATTGAGTCAGACCATTGTTTTCTCCTTAGCTGCTCTTATTTTAACTGTTTATTCCCATGCTGCAGATGGGGTAGATCATACGTTTTCAAACCAAACCATAACATTTGCTGGAAACTATTCTCTTGGAGACTCTGAGTGTGCAGTGGTGAATGTAACAACCATCGATGATAACATTGTGGAGGGAACTGAAGTCATATCAGTCTTCATTACTCCTGGACCTATAGTTGCTTCTATCTTCATCATTGATAATGACTGTAAGGCTCTTCTACACATGATTGAGTTTTCAAAGTTGTCTTGCAGATTTGGAAGTTGGTTTTGAGAGTGAGTCACTCTCTGTGTCTGAATCAGCTGGTGGTGTGGAGATAGCAGTGAGGGCGTTTCCTAATGAGAACGGAAATATTCCTGACATTGGCAAACCATTTGGTCTGAGGGTTACCAGCAAAGTTGGGTCAGCTGTTGGTAAGATTTTACGCCACAAAACAAAACGTAGTCTGTAACCTATAACACTGCTTACAGCGGGGATGGACTATCAAAGAGTGTTGTCAACAGTATACTTCCGTCCGGGTGAAAATCCTGTGTCTGTGTTGCAGATCAGTATCATTGATGATGGTTTAAAGGAAGACAATGAAGAGTTTGCACTTGGACTGACAAGTTTTGATCTACCTGTTGTTCTGGTCAATAGCGTTCTAAAAGTTGTCTTGAACGATGATGACGGTAATTATTGTAGTTCTCAAAATACACAAATATTATGCCGCTTCAATTCATTACATAGGATGTCCTGACCTAAAGGCTCCAGCAGATGGCTCAGTTCACTACACTAGTTCAGATGTTGGCTCACGGGCAAACTATTCATGCAATGAGGGATATGCACTGGTTGGAATGAGTAACAGAGTCTGTCAGAATGATGGGACTTGGAGTGGACAGCCACCTCTCTGCCAGAGTGGTAGGAAAAATTGCACCTGTTTAATACACCAGTTATGAATGAGCTATTTCACAGAGGTGTGTACTGTGGAACTGGATGGGCAGATTGAAGTAACTGGAAATTCGGCCACCTATTCATTCAGTGGTGTTGGTACTGGGATCAGTGGCTACATCTGTAGATTGGATGGAGTGGTCCTACCAGACTGTATGTTGTTCTGTGTGGTAAATATTGTGATAACACTTACTCCTATACACACAGGTTTAGGTCCACTGACTGGACTGAGTCCTGGGTTACACCGACTGAGGGTTGTTCCTGTGGGGTGCAGCGTTAATGAAGGAGCTACGTTTCGATTTGCTGTTTGAAACTATCAATAGTTTATTACAAAAATTCGTGTAAATATGATATATTATTATACTTTAACTTAACGTGTCTGTCATTATTATCTCAACGCATACAGTGCCCACTGCCTTACTGATACTTATTTCATGGTTTGAATGAACAACTTCCATAGTACAGTGGAACCCCTCCAAGGCGGACAACTTAGAGCCACAACGGTTTGTCCATTATAGCGGGGTGTCCTTTATGGAGGGGTTTTGCCTGATTATACAGTAATACACAATTTTAATGTCACTAATTCACTGTTACAACATCCTTAAAAGCACTCTAGACAAGATTAAACGAGATTATGATGATGATGATGATGATGACAGTAGTCAAAGTCTATAGAAAGTAGCTACTCATCCAGTGTACTCTGTCTACCCAAAGCTAAGGTATTGTAGTAAGGCGCTACTACGCAGGAATCAACATCAGAGAATTGCCACCGAGTCTGCCGAGGAGAGCGGGTCGACTACAGTTACTATACGACGCAGGAATCATGTGCTACCTGCGCATGCGTCAGGATAACGCGCTTCTACTTAGGATGGCTCGTGCTCGCTCCCGCTCGCCATGCATTCGCCTACTAGTACGAACTAGTTGAAGCTCTTCGCACTGATGGACGTCTCTAAAGCAGTTTCTGTTGTAACCATGTTGTTATCGCTGGCAGGGGGTGTGGCAAACTGTCCGTTACGCGGGTTTTTTTCTACGTTGAAAAGCATTTTGGATTGGTTTTACTGCCCGTTAATGTTAAATCACTTTTGTCCAGCCTTGGAGCCAATGTCCCTTAGTAAAACAAACCAGGCCATCAACTGCATGGTGTGCCTCAGTGAGCTCCTGCTCAGATAGTGTATTTCTCCCGCGCGCGCAGGCTACGCCTGACTTGTTTGACGACGCTGCAGGCGGCGCGTTTTGGCACGTGACTGCCGGTCGGTATATGGTGGCCGAGAGGGGAATTCCCGCACTGCGACGTCGGCCCGCACTGTTTACGTCATCGGAGTGACGTCGGTCCGCACTGCTAGCGACAGCGGTCCGTACTGCTAGCGCCGGTGGAGTTCCACTATGGCGAGTAGGGGTCATGTAGTCGTTCCATCCAGGGAACTAGACAGTTAGTTTTTCAACGTTGTACTTTTTATATGCCTCATACACCGGGACTGTAGAAGCAGCTAGCTAACATTGCTAGCTGCCTTGCTAGCTGCTTCTACAGTCCCGGTGTATGAGGCATACAAAAAGTACAACGTAACTGTCTAGTTCCCTGGATGGAACGACTACATAACCCCTACTCGCCATAGTGGAACTCCACCCGCTGAAGATTGGCGCTAGCAGTACGGACCGCTGTCGCTAGCAGTGCGGACCGACGTCGCTCCGATGACGCAAACAGTGCGGACCGACGTCGCAAACAGTGCGGGCCGACGTCGGGCACAATTGACAGTGCGCTCCGACGTCGCTCCGACGTCGGGCCGATGTCGCTGCTAGTGCATGCGGGCCGACGTCGCTATTAGGGCGGGCCTGTGTCGGCCTGCAGTGCGGGAATTCCCCTCTCGGCCATATCGGTAGACACACACCCGCAGCGACACCTGAGGCGCGCGCCGCGTAAACGGGGAAGGCCTGTGTTCCGTGAAACATAAAAACCACATTCATTGATCAACTTCACGATAGGTTGCAGACATGGGAAGAAAGGTAAGCTGTTTTTTGGAAGAGTACTTGTTCACAGTTATTATTATTCACCATGTTTTTCTGTTTTACAGTGTGTCTTTATTGGCTTTGTGCTGTGCCTTCAATCTTACAGCTTCGCGGCGACGTTCAGTGAGTGGCTTTAGCATAGCTACAATTGAAAACCTATCACAGTCTGGTAACCTTTAGTTAAATGTCTGACATGCAGCCGATGGTAAGCTGCATGTGTCATTTTTAGTGTCAAGTGTTCTGCCAGGACATGTTCTTTTTCACAGCAGACACACTTATAGTTCCTTGCTACACTTGGCAACTCATTATTACAGAAAGATTACTCTTATCCAGCCAAATTTAACTAATGGAATTTCGACACATGGATTATGTATTATGTAGCTATATCAACATGTCACACGTGATTACATTCTGTGAGGTCTGCTTGGTGATACAGTTTCAGTTCAATCAACAGCTCGGGTTACTGGTCTCTAGACCTTGGATTGACTCCTGACAGAAGTCGTAAGAGTGTTTTACCAAATGCTGGCTGAATGGCTAGGTGTAGCTATATAGCTATCCCCAGGTTTGGGAGGTCTTGGTACTTCCCAGGCTCCAACATCTGTTTTTTTTCAACAGGAAGGGCATTGTGCTGAGGGTTCAGAGCCAATAGCTACCTGGTTCATAGCAGTTCATACTTGTGTAGCAGGCTCCTCCAGCTGTCTCACACACTATGGTACAAGACTGACTTGTGTAGCAGGTTTCTTCAACACCAGACAGCTGTCTCACACAATATGGCACCAGACTGACTACTGTAGTCATGTTCATACCATTGTAATGGTCATGTTCTCTTGTATGTTGTATGTTGTTGCCCGGATTATCACCAATGCACCAATGATCACAGCCTACACACATACAAAAATGATGTTGTAAAATGCATATTGCTCTCGGTGCCTAAGATTGTCAACAACCAGTTCAACCGCTACTGTGAGAGTACCAGTCCCTCGGCGCTAACTTCGGCCAGATTACACTAGGTTCACATACTAGGTTCATACTAGGCTCATTGTAGATTCGTACTAGGTTTTGGTATATGCTACCCCAGCAACGGAGTGTTATGGAGCATAGGTTATCTGCCTGTAGTAACACCAACAGCTGAGGGCTGCGTCACTCAACATCAACTTTGCTTTCCTTAGATATAGGGAATTCAGATATTGTGCTGGAGAAACCTATACCAAGTTGGTCAGGCTCTCCGCGAGCTACTAGCAGGAGGCCCAGCCCATCAATTTAGCGTTACCGCTAAATAAAATAATTATGAGTGTTAGCTGCATGTGAAAACTATGAGGTAGAAAGGCAAAGGCACAACAAACAAATCAACTACACCTAGGACAGCTCTTTTTTCCCAAGGAAAAATAAAGAGCTGCCCTAGGTGGGATTCGAACTAACGACACTCTGCAGTCTAGGCGAGCGCTCTACCAACTGAGCCACCAGGGCAACTCAGCTGGTATAATATAGGGGTTCGAATCTACAACACAACACAACACAAACCTTCAACCACTGTGCTATGGCACAGTAAACTCTCACTTAGCATGTAGGAACAGACCGGGGTAATTAAACCACCAATGACGCCCAACTCCAAGCCAAGTATATGCATGTGAAAACTATGAGGTAGAAAGGCAAAGGCACAACAAACAAATCAACTATATACACCTATATAGGACAGCTCTTTTTTGCCTTAGTTATGACTGTTGTGCACTAAGGATCTTGAAGAGAGAGTACCAAACACATTGTGGATGTTTTAGTCATACGACTACCTACTGTTTTAAGATGACAGTAGTAACAGCTCGAGTATTGCAAGAGGGTGCGTTGCTCCATTCAACTATTGTGGTGGTGTGTTTGGACCTAGTTGTTACTAAGAGATAACTTGTGTGGACGGCAAGTGCCGATGCCCTGGAAATGTCTTCTATGATTACTGCACTTGTTTACCGATATGTCACTACTTTTCAGATGAGAGCAATGGGTGTTCAAGTCCTCCAATAAGACAGTGTGTCGCTCCATTCAACTACTGTGGCATTCTGTATGGACCTAATGGCTACCTAGATATAATGTGCGTGGATGGCCAGTGCCGATGCCCTCAAAATGCCTTCTATGACCGCTGCACTTGTTTACGTAAGGAACATTTACCAGTGTCTCTAAAGATAAACGTGTCTTAACACCATACAGCACATATTGGCAGTTGTTTGGTAAAACAAGACTCTGCATCTATCGTTGGGACTCCAACTACTGATGGAGACTCTGAGACAACATACAGCTGTGTGGCATCTGACAACTGTAACTATGAAGTCCATGTCATTGGGAACTATGAGAGCAGTAATGGCAGACATGGGTTCTTTACTGAAAGAGTAGCAGGAGACACAGACGTGGTAGTGAGTGTCTCTGGAGAGAGTCCTCGTCCTCTCATACTAGTCCTGACATCGTATGAGCCAGTGAGGTGGAGACTGAGTGTCACTAGCGGAATCATCATCGACAGAGTCATTCTGGTAATGAGTCAAGATGGTATTAGAGTGATCTATTAACCCATGCTTGGTTACTCTTCATTTAGAGTGGATACTATGCCAGTACTGTCACTTCAAGCTCCAGTAATATTATTAGACAAACAGAGACTCTGAGGGACCCTGACAACCACTTTGGATATGGGACTGATAATGGAGGTGGAGGAACTGCAGAGCTTCTGCTCTACCTTCAACAAAGATTTGGTCCTGTCACTTCATTCAGTGGCAGCTACAGAGCTGATCGATGGGAGCTCAACATTTACAGGACATCAGGTGTGTGCTTTCAAACCAAAGCAGATGAGTGCTCCTAAACATTGACATTACTTCAGATTGCAGTTTCAACAATATGACTCGCAGTTGTCTGGTGCCCTCTGCTCCAGAGAATGGAGAAGTGAATGTGACTGGAGTCCAGCCAATTGTTGCCCAGTACAGTTGCCATGAGGGAACTCTGGTTGGACCTGAGATGAGGATATGTCTGGGTAATGGTTCCTGGTCTGGAGTGGAACCTTCCTGCACAACTGGTAAATATAGTTATAGTATTTTGAACCCTTTGCTAAAGCATGGTGGACATTTTATCCACTACAGTATATTATGTCTAGCTACACAGTTATATCATGCAAACTTGTGTGCCCTCTACATCTAATGAATGTGCAAGAAACGGGTGCTAGGTGGTTTTTCCTGGCTGACAGTCGATATTTGCACTGCATGCACATAGCTACTCTCTTGTTAGTGCACTTTGCAGTCACTGTGGTCTACTGAAAGTCAAAGGGATGGTGTCATGTTGATTTGTGTGTCTTAGCTGTGTAATAACCCTTTTCTTTCC